CGTCTGCTAGGCACATGGAAAATTTACTTTCCTTTTGCAGCGGCCAGAAAATATACCTCAACAGCTGACCAGCTTATGGGATTTTTTTTCTGGTTTTTATTGTTAATAGTCCGGGGGCCGAGGACCTTTTTTCCAAATTATTAATAACAAGCTAGTTTTTTCAATGCAGCTTCATTTCACCGAGACGCCCAACTTTTTTCTCTTCGAAAATTGCGAAAACAGGTAGCTAACATACTGCGCAGGTGTAAAACATGTCGATTTGGTGACTATGAAAATTTAATTAATAACAGTTAGTTTTTCAGCTAAATGTTGAGATAATTTTATGATTAATTTGAAACAACATTTGTCCGACAAAATAAAGGGTTTGGTCTACGATGTCCCCCCCCCCTCAAACATGTAGCAATTACTTTGCATAAAAAATGATTAGTTGATTTTTTCAATGTAGCTTGGTAAATATTATTACAATTAAATGGTCACACTGTCCTACAAATAAACAGGTAGCTATTTTCAGTCCTACACTCAAAAGTTGTCGATTTCACGATTAAACTTTTTTCATTAATAACCGGCTAAATCTTCGTGAGTATCTTCATTTTGATAAGACGCCCAAATTTTCTGTTGCGAAAATTCCAAAAACAGGTAGCTAACAGAGTGCGCAGGTGGAAAACATGTCTATTTGGTGATCATACAAATGTAAATAATAACAGTTAATTTTGTAGCTGAATGTTGAGATAGTTTCATAAATAATATGAAACAACATTTGTCCGACAAAATAAATGGTTTGATCTAGGCTGTCTCCCTTCTCAAACCTGTAGCAGATACGTTACATAAAAAATGATTTATAACCAGTTGATTTTTTTAATGTAGCTTAGTAAATATTACTACAATTAAATGGTTACACTGTCCTACAAATAAAGAGGTACATTTCTCCAGTCCTACACTCAAAAGTTGTCGACTTCACGGTAATACTTTATTCATCAATCACCGGCTAAATCTTCTCGAGCATCTTCGTATTGATAATACGCCTAACTTTTCTATTGCGAAAAGTTGCAAAAGTAGTAACTACTAGAGTGAGCATTAGTGAGCACATGTAAAATACCTTGATTAGGTGATTATGCAAATGTAATTATTAACAGTTAACAGTTAATTTTTCAGGTGAATAATGAGATAATTTTATAAATAATTCGAAATTCGATTTGAGCCACAAAATAAATGGTTTGGTCTGCAGTGTCCCCTTTCTCAAAAATGTAGCAATTACTGGCTCATAAAAAACGATTTATAACCAGTTGATTTTTTTACTGTAGTTTGGTTAATATAACTACAATTAAATGGTCACATTGTCCTAAAGAGGTAAGATTTCTCAGCCCTACATTCGAGAATTTCGAAAATAGCCTTATGCATATTATACGTAAATATGTACAGGCCTTTCATTTCAAAACTTGCCACTCACGTTATCTGCGTAAATAGACAGATTTCTAGAAATCGCCGAAACATGTCAACAAATTTATTGAGGGGGTGCGTTAATTTGTTGACGTGTTCCGGCGATTTCCAGAAATCTGTCTCTTTAGGCAGATAACGCGGGTGGCAAATTTCGAAATGAAAGCCCCTGTATGTACATATGTACGTATACAGATGCGTGTATAACAGTATATGTGTTATGTGTATGTACACATACCTACATTTATGTCGATGGTTTCCATTCGCATCGACGGGCATGCTCGTAAATAACACAGTATCGTAGTATAGGGTGATTCAAAAAGCGCGCCAGATTTGAATTGCTCGAAAAAGAGTTTTGGAATGCCATCAAAGTAGAGGGGGCCATGCCCTTTGTCATTTTCCATACCCAGATGGAGAAGGTTTGATTCAACCGGTTCATCTTAATTCTAAAGATATTTAAAAAAATTAGAGCTCCTTTTTTAATGTATTAAATCTGGCGCGCTTTTTTGCTGTATATAGGGTGAATACAGGGTGTTTTCTAAGTTAGAGTTTTTCTTTTTAAATAACGTGGAACTTACAAAAATACAGGAGTTTTCCAAATAATATTTTCTCGACAGCTCAAAAATAAAAGAGATAGGTATGTTCATTTCAAATAATATCAAAAATCAAATATTTTAATAATTATATTTTTCAAAATACAAAAGGTAAAATTCTTGAATTTAATCTTTTTTTCCATAAATCTGTCTCTTTACGCAGATAACGTGGGTGGTAAGTTTTGAAATGAAACATATTTACGTATTGTATGCATAAGGCTATTTTCGAAATTCTCGAATGTAGGGCTGAGAAATTTTACCTCTTTAGGACAATGTGACCATTTAATTGTAGTTATATTTACCAAACTAGAGTAAAAAATCAACTGGTTATAAATCGTTTTTTATGAGCCAGTAATTGCTACATTTTTGAGAAAGGGGACACTGAAGACCAACCCATTTATTTTGTGGCTCAAATCGAATTTCGAATTATTTATAAAATTATCTCATTATTCACCTGAAAAATTAACTGTTAACTGTTAATAATTACATTTGCATAATAACCTAAACAAGGTATTTTACATGTGCTCACTAGGGCTCACTCTAGTAGCTACTACTTTTGCAACTTTTCGCAATAGAAAAGTTAGGCGTATTATCAATACGAAGATGCTCGAGAAGATTAAGCCGGTGTACGGTGATTGATGAATAAAGTATTACCGTGAAGTCGACAACTTTTGAGTGTAGGACTGGAGAAATGTACCTCTTTATTTGTAGGACAGTGTAACCATTTAATTGTAGTAATATTTACTAAGCTACATTAAAAAAATCAACTGGTTATAAATCATTTTTTATGTAACGTATCTGCTACATGTTTGAGAAGGGAGATAGCCTAGATCAAACCATTTATTTTGTCGGACAAATGTTGTTTCATATTATTTATGAAACTATCTCAACATTCAGCTACAAAATTAACTGTTATTATTTACATTTGTATGATCACCAAATAGACATGTTTTCCACCTGCGCATTCTGTTAGCTACCTGTTTTTGGAATTTTCGCAACAGAAAATTTGGGCGTCTTATCAAAATGAAGATACTCACGAAGATTTAGCCGGTTATTAATGAAAAAAGGTAAATCGTGAAATCGACAACTTTTGAGTGTAGGACTGAAAATAGCTACCTGTTTATTTGTAGGACAGTGTGACCATTTAATTGTAATAATATTTACCAACCTACATTGAAAAAATCAACTTGTTATTAATCATTTTTTATGCAACGTAATTGCTACATGTTTGAGGGGGGGACATCGTAGACCAAACCCTTTATTTTGTCGGACAAATGTTGTTTCAAATTATTCATAAAATTATCTCAACATTTAGCTGAAAAACTAACTGTTATTAATTAAATTTTCATAGTCACCAAATCGACATGTTTTACACCTGCGCAGTATTTTAGCTACCTGTTTTCGCAATTTTCGAAGAGAAAAAAGTTGGGCGTCTCGGTGAAATGAAGCTGCATTGAAAAAACTAGCTTGTTATTAATGATTTGGAAAAAAGGTCCTCGGCCCCCGGACTATAACTCCCCTACTTCTGAAACGAATTTATAACGAGTTCCGCAAGTCCATTTAAACTTAAACTCTCTTCAATAACAACAACATACCATTATTTGGACACAAGATTTACATCCCTCTTACTTACTTACACAAATTGAAACTACGCAAAGACTATAACACTAAACAGCGCAAGAAATGATAATTATTCAGGAATATTTTGGATGCAAGTTTTTTGAAAATAACAGTTCCAATGGATCAACGCGACAGCGGTGCAAGAGTGACACTAACTCAAGATCAACTAATTAATTCAAAAATATAAAGTTTTGTTCCATGGAATCTTAGACACTATTCCAGTACCCATTGTAACCCGGTTTCAGGCCCTAGAGAAAAATCGATTTGTGATGTTAAATAATTGATGCTACAAAATTTTCAATGTACATATTTTGAAAACTTTCCTCCTATCTACTGACCTCCACAGATTAAAAAAATAATTGCCTTTTATTTTTGTTGATGAAAAATACAGAGGCATTGATTGAACAGCAGATGTTTATGGCTGAGTTATTTGAGCACAGGGACACTTCTACAAAATCTTATAAATATAAACTACCTACCTATCAATTTGGTTTAAATAGTAACTATCATCTCATCCCAGCGTTTCCGTTGAACGATGTTTTTCTTGTTTACTTGCTTGCAAAATAGGAACAATTGATCTTATATTCAACAATTAAAAGCAAATCTGGTAATTACCATTACTAGGTATATTGAATAACCATTTACATTGATGCGGAAAAGCTGACGCCAATGTGCAAGACCCGTGCGCGAATTTCGAATATTCTACGATTTAAATAAACAAAAATTCAAAAATATTATTCAAAGATTTCTCGGTTGGTTGATTTTGATCTATCTGAAACTTAAGGATTCCTTTTCCAGAGAAACGAGAAACATTACCTACCTACTTACAACATTAAAACAGACATACATACAAAAAAACCTGAAATGATTCCTGTTTTGTTCTCACATTTTACTATCATGCACAAATGTAGGTCAAAATGACGCGTAAACAGATATTGTATTGCCCTTGGTCAATATTTATTTAATCACCCTTTTATATTTAGGTAGGTATTAATTTTACACACTTGATTAACTAAACACGCACGTCCTTAATTTGGGTTAATGTCATGCTAATTGAAAAGAAAAACACGTATTCACGAATTGGAAATTTTGGCTGAATCTTTAATAGCGATTAATAAATCTCAAATGTAAACCAATTAAGATGATAGGCTGCCCAATGTCGTCTGAATAATTAAAATTTTCCTTTACATTTTACATTATAAATTAATGTTCATCTATTTCATATTCCCACAACGGCAATTTATGAAATAAATCAGTTTTATTGGTGACAATTTAAAATCCGCCTGTCTGGAACATTATTGAACTGAATGTTCAAATGCTTTTTAATTTAAAAATATCAATAAAGTCACTTACCAAGCATAGGAGCTGCTGTTAACCATCCCTTGTCCGACGAAGACATTCGAAAGTCGCACGTGGCCGAGGGTAGAACGAAAGAAATTATCGTTATTCCTACGGCTGTGTTCGAATATATAAGACCGCATACTGCCAGGAGAGAAAAATGGAATTTGCCAAATCCTGAAAAAGAATGAAGATTCTATAATTTCTATGCAATTCAATTCAAATTTGAAGTATGTTAGGATAAATGATGGTATTTGAATTGTAAAATGTTTTTCAGTTGTTCTGTGATTATCTTATCATAATACCACAAGAGGAAAAAATTTGTTGGCAAAATTTTCGACTGGTATGAAAGTTTGTTGCTTGGCAATTTCGCGAAATTGCCGAAAAGCAACAAACTTGAATAAAAATATCAGTTTGACAATGTCAAAAAATGGTCGTAGGTAATACCATAAGAGCTCAGATTTAGCCGGATATTTTTTGGCTTGGTCTCGAATACTTACTTTTAGGAAATTTAACGAGAGCTGTTCAGATTGTGGAACAGATTGAGATAAATTGCATGAAAGTAAGTATGAGAGAGCAAGCAAAAAAATATGCTGCTCAAAATCTGAGCTCGAATAGTATTTAGTACGGCAATTCCACGAATGCATAATCAAAATAAAATATGGAAATACTTTTTAAAATGAACAGTTATTGAAGGTACAATTAGAATAAATATTTTGCCCCTTAAAATTTGACTCTACAGAAAGAGAAGAAAACTCTGTGTTCTCAGGAATTGAATTTTCTATTTTGCTATTAATTCATCTTTAATTGTCCCAAATCGCTGCATGTTGAAAATATTTTTACCTACGAGCGTGCGGTAAAGTGCACTTTACCGCACGTATTTGAAAATGGAAAGTATTACTTTACCGCACACTATGCGGTAAAGTTAACTTTACAGCATAGTGTGCGGTAAAGTTAACTTTACAGCATAGTATGCGGTAAAGTGGACTACAAAGTGTGCGGTAAAGTGCACTTTACCGCATAGTGTGCGGTAAAGTAGAATTTGATATGTATAATCAAAATTCCTTTCTTTTTCAGAAAATGGATTTTTGATCATTTCTAAATTTAATCTTATTTCATTAATTAATCTGATCCATTAATTAATTTTATCAATGCCTTTTTTGGAGATGTAGATGCTCATAGGTAAAATTTTGTACCTAACACATGCGGAAAGTGCCTTTACCGCCCTTAACGGCTTGACCGAACTCCGCTTCGCGTCGTTCGGTCAACTGCCATTGCGTGCGGTAAAGTATCACTTTCCGCATTTGTTAGGTAAATAACTATTAATTTGATTTAAAAATACACTTTTAAAGCTAAAATGATAGAACTTGAGAATTTTTGTGACAATTATTTGACAGATGATTCAAAAACCAATTTTATATGCAATTGTTACTACGGTAACGATTGCATCAACAGAAAATTTATCCGATTTTTTTATCCAGTTATATTTTCTCTTCCTTCCTATTTATCCGCTAGCAAACTACGATTTTTGACATTTCAAATGGGATTATTTATACATGAGTGGAATTGCCAGCATTCAATCGTATTTGCCATAGATACCAAGCAATCTCTTTATTTTTAGTTTGGCACATTTTTTCGACCTTTTCATGGAACTTACCCCTCTCTTAAGAAGGGTAGAAACCACCCCCAACTTTTTTTTTCAAATGTAAAGATATGTATTGTGATAGCTCGTTGGAATGGCCATGAAAAAAGGAATATGACCCATTATTTATTTTTTGCATTTCGGTGATCTAGAAAGCGCGAAAAAAAATAAAAACATATTGTTCCACCCAATTTTTTCACAGTTAAAATTGTTGAATATCTTCAGCATTTATTCTTGGTAGAGCCCTAATGCGGAACAAGCCCTATTTGTAACGTTTAATTATTTCTGGCGTTAACACAGTATTTGATGCCTGATACTCGGATTCTCAACCCTAAAATAGTGTTATAATATCAAAAATAATTACATAACTAGATCACCAAAATGCAAAAGTAAATAATGGGTAATATTCCTTTTTTTATGCCCATTTCAACAAGCCATCACAAAACATATCTTTACATTTGAAAAAAAAAGTTGAGAGTGGTTTCTACCCTTAGGAGAGGGGTAAGTTCCATGAAAGGGTCGAAAAAATGTGCCAAACTAAAAATAAAGAGACCCGTTTTTTTAATTTTTCCAGAAAATAAACAGCAGCCGTACTCTGTAACAACATAGAGAAGAAATTTTCTTTCCATGATAGAAAATCGTCGAAACGAAACTCCCTAACCCCACTCGGCTAGAATCGCTACCCCGAACTACCTGCTCGTGTCAAAATAAATAGAAAGCAGAGCTGGGCAGTAATTGCTTTGAAAGTGCTTGAAAAAGTGCTTCAAGCACAATAGTGCTTCGAGCACAGTGCTTGCAAGCACTTTTAAAATACAGTGCTTGGTAATTGGTAATCGAAGCACTCTATAAAAAGTGCTTGGTAATTGGTAATTGACTTTCGCATTTCAAGCCATTTAAAGTGCTTGCAAGCACTTAAAAGGCTTGCAAGCATTCAAAAGAGCTTGCAAGCACTAAAAATCAAATCCTTGGTAACAATTTAGGGCAGCATAAGTGTGATTGGCTGGTTGAAGGCCGTCTCAGCATCGACAATAAGGAAACATTTGTGTTGTGTTTTGTGTTAAGGTTTATTTATGATATAACTAAAGATAAAGATTTCAATAAACTGTGGGAGTATAGTGTATAGTGTTAGTGAATAGTGTTGCATATTGCCTTTGCCAACGAGGTGCGAGAATAACTCAACTATAAAGCTGGCTTCCTACGGCCCGTGATATCGCAAGCTGGGCCGCGCTTACACGCGTCAACGCTCCATGGGAAGGGCGGCACGGCGGGGCTTGCGATATCACGGGCCGTGGGAAGCCAGCTTTATAGTTGAGTTATTCTCGCACCTTGCTGGCAAAGGCAATATGCAACACTATTCACCGACACTATACACTATAATATCACAGTTTATTAAAGTCTTTATCTTTAGTTATAATAATGTTAATATTCGATGATACAGTGTAGTGTAGTGTAGTGTATTTAGAGTGAAGAGACGAAGACCGAAGACTAGTAATAAATTAAAAACAAAAAACTTTGGTTTGATCATTTCATTATAACTATCATCATATCAACATCAACCAAAAACGTTAAAACTTATTACGTTTCAAATTGCTTTCTCCTCAGATCCCAATTCAGCAACATCTTTATTTTAAAAATAAATTGGAAGCAATTGGCAAAGAAGTGCTTGGTAATTGGTAATTTGTTTGAGAAAAAAGTGCTTGCAAGCACCTGCAAGTAATCAACAATGATTTCAAGCACCTTTTGAGTAATTGGTGCTTGGTAATTGAATTGTGCAATTACTTTCCTTGGTAATTGGTAATTGTAAGCACTCAGAATTTCCAAAGTGCTTGGTGCTTGATGCTGGCAATTCCTTTTCCTAAGGGCTTGGTGCTTGGTGCTCCAAGCACTTTTTTCGAGTGCTTTGCCCAGCTCTGATAGAAAGACCCTTTCGGTCTTGCTATTTTTCCTTTTTATTCTACATAATCACAAATGACATAAGCTTATCTTCGTCTAATTTTTTTTTTTTTCAATATGATTTTTTGTTTTGATTTGTGATTAAAGAGTGACATAATTTTTTTTATGTATCAAGGGTACTAAGTAGATGATTATGCCCTGAGGGCGACAGTCTTACAAAGCCGAGGTCCTCTGGCCAGAGGGTTCGTAAGTCGCCCGAGGGTATATATATATATATATATATATATATATATATATATATATATCTATTAGTACCCGTGGTGCATACAAACTTTTATGTCATACCAATTGGTTGTGAATAATAAATACCTGGGAAAAAAGTGTCACTTCGCAAATTGTCATCAGTGTGCAGAATCATCATTTTTTGACAAAAATAATATGTTTATCAGCGTAAATTTATATTTTGTTAATAAAAAATAAGTTAATTGAAAACTGTTTTTTGCGTCTTTATGCCCGCGCGGGCCATAATGTGTACTTTATGCCCGCACGGGCATAAAGTAATGAATTATGTAGATGGTATCTAAGGTATAAAAATACAATAATGTATTGGTATGACATAAAAAAATATTATGCGTGAGTACTTTACGCACGGTAGTAGAAAAAAGTATTTTCTGGTATAGGGAAAGGTAGATCGCAGTTACACAATAAAATTGACAGAAGATTAGAACTTTCGCAGCGCGTAAAATTCCTATCGCTCTAAAAGACAAGGCCAAAGAAAGTATAGACTTAATGGTTGCCCAGAAAATTCTTGTTCCAGTCACTGAGCCAACTGACTGGATACACCCTATTATCATAGCACCGAAACCTCATGGTGATATTCGTGTGTGCATGGACGGATCCCAGACATTAAAATCAATATTTAAAACGAGAATATTTTAATATACCAACCTTGGACATTTTACATAGTGAACTTCATGATGCCAAGTTTTTCACATTATTGGACGATTCCCAGGCTTTTTTACAGATACCCCTGGACTATAAAAGTTCTAAAATGTGTAGCATCGCCACTTGTTGGGGTAGATATAGATTCGCATGGTTGCCATTTGGCATCAGCTCAGCGCCAGAAATTTTCCATCGTTTTATGTATGGAACGTTAGAAGGTGTGCCTGGTATAATATCATATTTTAATGAGCTACTTGTGTTCGGCAGGACCCTAGAAGAACATAACAGAAATTTGGACATATAGTATTATCCAAAATCTGTGAAAGTGGCCTTACTTTAAAGCAAGAAAAATCGCATTTTTGTCAGAAAAGCATAAAGTTCTTAGGTCATTTAATCAGCGAAGCGGGTATCGCTGCTGACGGAAAGGAAATTGATGCTATTAAAAATATGAAACCACCTGTAAACCGGAAAGAACTACAGAGATTTTTAGGCATGATAGTGAGTGAAAAAAATGAATGGGTGTGGACTGAAAATGAAAATATTTGTTTTCAACAGCTTGAAAAACTTGTGACATCTACATAAGTGCTATCGTATTTTGACCCTAAAAAATAAACTATTCCTAGTGTTGATGTGGGCCCATTCGGTCTTGGAGCAGTGATTATGCTGGAATGTCATCCAGCCTCAATATCTCTCACTCCCACTGAACAAAGATACAACCACATTGAAAAGGAACTTGTGGCTTTGGTTATGGGCTGTGAAAGATTCCATTATTATTTATATGGTGAAAGATTTTAAATCCAAACTGATCATAGACCCCTTTTTTTACTGAAGAAACCTTTAGATGAGTTGTCTCCGAGATTGCAAAGACTAGCTATTCGATTGCTAAAATATCAGCTT